AACTGATATCCTGAAGAGGAGAATATTCAGCTCTTTAAAGAAGACCTTTCCTGCAGCAACACTAAGAGTAACATTCTCTAGCCGTCCAATACTTCGAAACAACACGAAGGACAAACTCTCGCATATGACCAATTGAATGTGCATATACCAGTTCACTTGCTCGTGCGGAGCTAGGTACATAGGTCGTTGTATGCGCGTCCTTTCAAAACGTGTTAGAGAACACTACCCAGCGTGGCTGAAAAAATGAGGCACCGGTTCAATCAGAAGTGCCATTATTGGACATCTGGTCAACACCTCCCACAACATCTCAACTGATTCTTCCAAAGTGATTTGCGAAGTCAACAGAAACCTACCAAAATCAGTATGTTTCCGACTTCTTTGTACTGCAGAAGCCCTCGCAATATGCATCGAGAAGCCGGAGCTGTGTGTTCAAAAAGAAATTAGTCCGACCTCTACAACTACCATGGGTGACCTAGTTTGGTATGTTCCCTTTGCTTCCGTTTTTTCTCTTCTTCGTCTTTTTTCGTTCTCGCTTTTCCTTTGGAGCATTTTTTCGTTCGCTGTGTGTCTGATCCTTACTCCCCCAGTCTTCATTAGATCCACCTAATTTTTTTCAGTTATAAAATTAGTTATTTTAAGTTTGTTTCCATGCTTCTCCTGATCACACTTGTAATCCGTTTAGAATAACCATTTTACAATTATATTCTAATCCTGTGTAATTTTTTGTTTCTCTGCCTCTTGTAATCTATATTCATACCTCCTAACTAACACTTCAAGTTGAAAATTTTGATTTCATTTTGTTTCCACGCTCATTTTTGTTCACACCTGTAATTCGTTCTATCCCTGCGTCTCTAAGCCTCTTGTAATTCATATCAAGTTGAAAACAATTATCACCTTCTACTTGACTTAAAATTATTTCTCCAGTTATCAAATATTAATTTTTGCATACGTTGTAACTGTTTTTTCTAATCTTATGAAATCTCGTCTCTAAGCCCCTTGTAATCTATATTCCTACCTTCAAACTTTCATATCAAGTTGGAAATTATTATCACCTTTTTTTTGATTTACAGCTTGATTCCACACTGTACTTTTGGTACAAGTATGGAATATTCAGCATGGATATCGGTAGCCCAAATTTCGCAGGCCGACCATAGATATCAGGTGTGCGCCGGCGTGGGCTCGAACCCCGGACCATGTGCATGGTCGGCGAGAGTCCTAACCACTGTGCCACCGACGCACCTTCGTTACTATGTGGAATTAAACAAATAATAATTGTATCCATGCAAAATAATCTATATAAATGCGATTGTACAGCTTTTGAGAATGAAATCGCCGAAAAGATATCTTTGCTGAACTTCGTGTTCTCTTCTTTCTAAAGATTCCAGATTCTGCTCCAGTACAACACAGTAAACTGTACATGGATAATACTATCCTCCTAAATGAAGACATTAACTAAATGCAGTCTTGTGAACACCTTCATATCTTTGATATGCGGTCCACCCCTGTCGTATGTATCATGATGTTTCAGAACTGGACTACAGTGATGCTTAGCTTAATGATAGCGAGTGAAGTGGTAGGGCGTGTTAACGATTTAACTTATTTTGGGAAGTTGCATCAACCTTAGTAGACTCACTGGTGACGACGTCTCAGTACGAATACAAAAGGATCATGTGGTGTTTATCAACATACGTTACCACTGGCGTAGACACTTATCGATTAAAAGACGTGTGTATTGTAAGGTAGTTCACTTTGAGCCCCATTTCGGTTGTGAAAAAGCCATTGAAAGTGGAAGATATGAGAAGAGGCTAGTTGTCTTTTGCCGCAGATGTTTGCATTCTATCACCCATGTTAGGGGGTATAATATGTAGCGAGTATTATTGAGGTTAGGTGTAAAGTGTTAGGCAAGGGAAGGAGATCAATCGGTGAGTTTGTGAACCTACGTTGATTCAGATGGGTAGGATACGTGTTGAGCATCCCAACATACCACCTTTCTAGATAAGCTATGTTATCTTTTCTCTAGATCTGTGTGCTACATGTGTAACGACAGAAGGCAAGAATCAAGCAACAGATCGTTTATTAAGGAAATCAACACGTATTTATATATTTTCATGTACATTATTATAGCTTATTCAAGCAAACAAACACAGTCTTCTGATTGGTTGTTTCTCTCAGAAAATTAACCTTGCATCTCTTTTTGGCTGTTTCTTGAATGTCAGACCATCTATATGTTAACTGTATCCGCTTACGCAAAGTGTGCTGTGATTGTTTGTTGAATCAGTCTTTGTTCATATTTTCTCACGACCAATATTTGGGAAACAAACATTAACGTCAATTACTGTCTACTCATTTGGCTAGCAGCTATCTCTCACCACACATGTACTTTGGCAACTTGAACTGCTGCATCACAATGTTGAAACACAGTCAAACACACAGTAAATTTGATTCACTAAGGGGATTTAATGTCTTAGCAGAGAGAGTCATTGAAATTCCCATGGAATGAGACTTGCATTTACATGTAATAAACTCTGATACTTACTACTCACTATCGAAAGATCATAAGAGCATTTCTCAAAACTACCAAACTCTACACTAGTTCAGCAATCCCTAAGAAAGTATAACTGAGCCTGAAATTCAAATCCTTACTTATTTAAATTAATTCAGTTGGAAATAAGAGATTTATTCCATCATAATAGACGTTGATTACTAAGGTCTACACTACAGAAGAAGTACGTATTCCTTGATCGCTATCAGGAGCTAAGGATAGTCACTGCTAGCAAGTTCACTGGTAGGTGAAAAACCCCCCTCAAAAGATGTCAACTCACGATAAGAGAAAGTTACCTCAGACTGAAAGGAAACATCTTGCATTGAAGTTGTCATATCACAGCATAAAAACAAGCAAGCATGATAGCAACGTGTTCGATTTTCTGAATGGAAGCAAGCAATGATTGTGTTTCTATTATCATTTCGTTGGATCCCAAGTGAATCAAAGGCAGCTTCACGCTTTTTGGACTTTCAGCAGCGGCGATGCTGTTGATTTTACAAGGTGGTGTTGAATGACTGATGAACATTCTATCACAGAACTCCTAAAGTGCAATTGTATCAAGTTCTCAGGCAGTCTACACGAATCCCATGGATGCTAATATATATATATATATATATATATATATATATATATATATATATATATATATATATATATATATAGGGAACCATTGGAAAACCTGGAAGTACTGGACAGCTGTTTCGTCAGCCTAGTTTGGGACTCTTCAGCAGCACGCGCCCAGACCCATGGTTCAAACCCAGGACCTTCTGGCTACAAGTCGAGCTCGTAAACTTTTCAGCAGTCACTGGGACCCAATCCAACGGCCCATGCAACCCAACTTCTGCCAATTCACGGCATAGCGCGACCGCTAGCTAATGTCTTCGGCGAGTATTTATTCTCACACCCGACCTGCTGCACTTGTCTTCGTCTGTTCAACTCAGTATCTCCTTTTCAACCTAATCTCACTTTATAAATATACACATCTAAACTACAGATGTTTTAAACGTCTAAAGTCACGAAAAAACGTTGTTCTTTCTAAATACTTTTGGATTATATTTGATTATTTATTGATTGAATAGCCACACTTATCCCTTTCCCTCCGTAGACCAATTCTCGAACATAGGTATATTAATCGACGTCCAACACTCACCATATATCTCAATCTAAAGGTGGCATTCAATTCCGAGACGTGTTGTAGCAATGTTTAGCCGCGAAGGGGATTGCCGGGAAAGTATATCGCACTAATCAACTCACTGTACTCGAACTCACAGAGCCATGTAATAGCTTATGCAGAATCGTCACCTGAAGTGAAGACAACCAGTGGTGTTGGTTAGTGATGCCCGCTTCCCCCGTATTCTGCTTAATTTCATCATAGATGTACTTATAGGAGTGACGCTAATTGACTTCAGTGACTTAGGGAATGCCACGTTACTAGGGAACAGCCTTGTTTACTTAGAATATACAGATGATATAGTGCTCCTAAGTGAAGACGCTGACAAAATGCAGAGTTTTTTGAACACATTGACAAGAAATTTATGAATATTTGGCATGATTCACTCCACTCAAATGTATGATAGTGATGCAGGATTGGTGTGCACAAAATATCACTTTAAAGAGTGAGGTAGTTGGGCATACTGACTACTTCATTTGTTTGGGAAACAGCATTTCCGACGAAATCTCAGCACAAACGCAAATGGCCCGTGTGAGACTTGTCAACTTATGGATATCGGTCATAGGACGTGTGTACCTGTAAGGCAGTTCGCTTTCTCCTAGTTTATGTCTGTGAGGCATGGCCATTACAAGTGGAAGACACGAAAAACTAGGTTGGCTGTCTTTGACAACAGATGGTGTTTGCGTTCTATCTTCCCTGTTAAGAGTTATAATACTGAGGTTAGGCTTAGAATGTTAGGCTAGAAGGGAAAATCAATCGGTGAAGCTACATCGATTGAGATGGCTAGGACATGTGCTACGTATACCAATCCACCGACCTTCCTCGACAGCCAATGTTAGCTGACATAAAAGCCTGACACCAGTCCATGAAGTCTTTGACCATTGGCTTGAGCCATGTAGAAAAGTACAGACTGCCAGGTTGGGGTCTTCAGGATTCTAGGAACCAATGGCGAGAGATTAGCAGCGATATGGCTCAAAGCAGATGCACTCAATAGCTGTGATTCTCATGCTTTTCCATGCTAGCATTCTTTATCTAGTATATTTCCGCTTGCTATAGTTCTTTCGATTCTCTGTTTTCTCTGCCTTTGTGTAGTAACATGAACTAGTGTATTTCTCTAGAAAGTTCTATATTGAAACTCAGTCTAACTATACATTTATAGGTGAACACTGTTGCGTCAGTGGCACAGTGATAAAATGCTCGCCAACCACGCACCAAGTGGTCCAGGGTTCGACCCACGGCCGGCACACTGCTTTGCCTCGCTAAGCCACTGGTAAGATTGGCAAAAAGGGGAGGTTGGGCGTAGGGTTAGTAACCCCATCCCGTAGAAATAAACACCACTGCCACCGAAACTTCAAGCCTCTAGCTTGAATCTCTATGTTCTATTGGGGACGTAAGGAAATATTGAAAAAATGCACCCCTACCTCACCCCGCCGCAGCTGTCTGCTTCTTCCTCTACCACTGGTAACTTACAAACAAAGGTATAATAGACAGTAGTAATATAATAATAATTACACTATAATAAATATATATAGGTAATTACTTACATACGTATATATTTTCTTTACAAATTAGGATACTGGTTTGTCAATATATAAGGACGAAATTGCATGGCAAACAATTTTTAAGAAAATAAACAAAATACATAGACAAGCTCAAAGGAAGAGAAGGAAGAAGAAGAGAAAAACGAAAAGAAAACAAGGGAGAAAACAAAAAAAGTAAAATTGTGCCTCCTTCATTTAAATTTTACGCCATCTGATATTGGATAGCTTAAACCATCTGTAGTCAGTGGAGAATTGACTAGAGGACAGAGAAAAGCTAAAATCCAACGTTCACCCAAATATTGTTTTATATTACTTATATAACCGATATTATACATACAAGGCGACGAGTTATTGTTACCTAGTAGCGGTTGCTGTTGTTGAGCTGTAGCTGATAATGTCTTCAATATCTCTTTCTCTTCCTTCTCCTTCTGTTGTTGATAGGTTCTTACCGCTGTACTACTACAATCAGTAGAACTATCGTTATTATTAGTGTGATTATGATGACGACTGAATGAATGAAATGCTCTTTCAAACATTGTTTGATTACACAACATCATATTAAATTGATAAATAATAAATACGCATAAAAGACAAGCTGTAAAAAAGGATAAACTTGTTGTTAAAAATATAAAACTTTGTAAAAATGTTAAATAACCAGTTAACCACATAAAACCAGGCGGTGCTAATATACATAACAAACGATAGTATATCGACCAGGTTAACGGAAAATAATCTGATTGAAATATAAGCTGTAGATTATAATAACTCATAAATATACAGCCTAACATACCATAGAATAGAGTGTTACAAAAATATCGCCAATTTGCATGACCAATACACTGAGCTTTAGAGAGGAAATAGAAAAGCAAAGAAAAAGGAAAACATGAAATACATACAGAAGCTTTGGAAGAAATTAATATATTATTACTTATTAAGTACACTAGGTGTATAAAGACACACCTATTGTATGATGGTCAAACCAAAACATGGCTTCATCAGTCAATGAAATCAACAACAGTTAAAGCCACTCTGGTTGGGGTCCTCCAGATGGTAAAAACCAATGGCGAGGGCTGGAGACAACCGGTGATATGGCTCAAAGTGATCATTTTCAGCTATGGTTAGCGCAGATGTATCCACTCCTTGTGACTTATAATATCCAATAAAACTATGTTGTTCTTCCATATCACTATTCTTTTCGCCGCATACTTCTGTTTATCTCTATTTTGAATCTCTTTTTACTTTCTTCTCTTGCTTTATGTGCTGATTGATGTGTGGCAACTCGAACTGCTGCACATTCGTGCAAAGTTCTACGTTGAAACCAGCCAGCCAGTCACTTATTGTGTGCCGACCGGTCATACTACTTACTCAATTACCGAGGTTGAAGTAGCTGAGGCGAGCCTCAAATCTACAACCCGTTGATTGAAGGCCAGGCGCCTAACACAATGAACCAAATAATCTCCCTGCCGCCCCCTCTCACAAAGATGATCAACAACACTACAAGGGTGGTCTAAGCGAAATTAATAATCTTAAAATTGTGCAGATAAAATTTGTCAATCAAGATTTCAGACTCCGTGAAGATCAAATTAAGACGTGTTATCATTAAACATCAACGTCAACACTATTGACTGTGAATTAATTCGGAAACTCCTTCAACAATGTGGAGTGCAGTGCCGAAAACCTTAATTATCAACAGCTATGTGGTGATGCTACATGCCAAGTGACTCACAATGGAAAGCTCAGAGAGGGCTTTGATGTGAAGACAGGAGTAAGATAATGCTACCTTCGATCATCAGTGATAGTTCTGATTGTGGGAGGATAGCTGTGCTAGCGAAGAAATGTCACGGTTACTTTCAGTATTGCATTCTGATGAACCGAAAAGGGTAACTATTTTCTAAAAATTGTCCCAATCACAGCCACTGGCACTTATAACTCTGAGAACGGATATATATATATATATATATATACGCTTATTTGAGAAATTGGATATGATATAGTAATTAATATTTTTATATGATCTGACACATTCAGGCTATTAGGAAAGTGGAGGTAATGATGCTTAATGACTTCTAATTAAGCTTACTAATGACGAGTGAATTTCTCCAGACTTACTGGTGTTGACTTCGATCATAATGAGACGGAAACTGACCTAAATATATTGACCGCGTCTTTGGAATAACAACGAGTAGTTATGGCTGTAAAAATTTAATGGTATTCAGCAGTTGTTTCAATACATAAAACACAAACTGCAATATCGTTTGAAATATGGAACGCTGACCTAGAGCAGCGCTTGAGTTGACTGGCATTGAGGCTTATGCTGAGTGAGGTGCACGCATATATCCTCCAAGTTAGATAGGCTGCTTTTAATTGGCGAACTCTGAAACACACAATTCTTAAATACGTTGGTACTAAAGTGCCATTCGAATCTGCTGATCGAGATTTGTTGTGATATATTTTGAAATAGATAAGAATTCACTCGACCGTATAAGATAATACGAGAAATTAATAAATGACGTAATCAAGACTGAATATATCTGCACAACTAAGAATGATTTCGAGCCATATTACCAACAATCTCTCACCATTGACTCTTAACATCTTGGGGACCCTAGTCAAGTAGTCTACACTCCCCTATGCAATCCAAAGGAACAATTTATGAAGTCAATGATCGGTGTCATGTGTTCGGTCTGACCACAACTAGCACTTCCAAACCACTCCTACATCATCTAAGATTTCTCATAAAATAAGGAGATAACTAAGCATGTATCCTATCTATTACAGTTGGTGCAGATGGTCAGGAAAAAACTCCTACAAAAATTTACGAGTAACTAGTCCTCAGACACTACACAGTACCAATTGAATCCTAATATAGATAATCTATGGTGTGTAGTAACACAGTATTTATAAACTGTTAAATCTTAGCTTAAAGTAGTATTATACAACTTAGTTGCATTCATAGTTTATACGGTGAAGAGTTAGGAGATACCCTTAGTTTTTAAATATCATAAACGGCAGATACATATTAGAGTGACGACATACACAACATAAAATCCCTGAAAACTACATTTAAAGTCTAAACTGACATAATAAGTGATTAAGTGAAGCACAAACCAATAACAGAAAATTATCACGAGATCCCTGATACGACTTCGGATTTGGAAGATGTGATTAGCTATGATGCATGTGGCTGAATTAAAACATAAACACATCGATTTTTAAGTCTGTAGATCTAGCAACATAAAATGAGAACTGAGAGTTGACTGGTGAATGATGGTTATAATTTGCGTAGAATGTGTGTACGTAAAACCCATGAATCCCCAAAAGATGAAATTCTTGGGACTACCACCTTGCTTTATATAAAAGCAAATCTACAGAATGACCTTCCGCAATCAGCCTTTTGGGTATATTATGACAGTATTTTCTGTATTACAATCAGTACTATGTTTTTCACCTCTTTATGAAATCTTTTCCAATTCTGTCCCATTTTAAACAGATCGTCCCCATTATTTCTTCGTTATCGACAGCTTGGGAATGTGTGAAACAGTCAATGCGACATTCTAATGAAGATCCTTCCGAGTGACCTACAAATTATTCGTATTAATACTTAACCCACAGCAAATTATTCGAATGATGAATAATGAAACATAAAACATCTTACCTATGATAGTACAGTGATGGTCACGTCGCAAAACACATGTGCCACAATCAAAGCAGTGGTGAGAACGAGGTGGTCGCACAGTTTGGCATGTAAGACAATAACTCCAATCAGGTTTTGACTTCGAAGAAAGCAAGAGACCACGAATACTCGGGTCTACAAAAATGCATTTTATAACGCTTGCATAGAAAAATGCATAAATAACCAGTAATATGAAGTATGTGAGACGAATTTCATGACCAAATAGCGAAGGCAATACCAAGTAGATTTCAAAAAGCAGTAAATAGATGGTAAATAATCCTAGGGAAAGACGGGTTATGACATTTTTTGCAACTCGACTTTTAAAAATACCTAAAATACATCATTAGTTTAATATATGTTATGAGGAACTATTACGAGATACAAGTAAACAACGAGCAATGCTGACGCCACAGGTAGATAAACGACGTAACCATCGTAATCCAGGCATACGTCAAGGGGCGCCTGATGAGAGGAAAAGGCCTTGAACTCCAAGTGTGGCGGTTAAACACCTGTAGGTCACTCCTACCTTTTGCGGTTGGTAAGTTCAAGTTTGCGTAAACTTTAAAGTAAAGCTGACTTCAGAAAGCACTTGCAAATACTAGTGTTACTGACGGTTGAGTAAGTGGCGATTGTATTCATCCGGATTTAATTATCTAAACGACTTAAACAATACACCATTTATTGTCTGAGATGAATAGTTGTATACCACTCACATCAACCAGAAGTACTTACTTGCCAAGTCGAAGTCATCTTAACACCGGATGGCGGTCCGGCTCGCACTGAGCCAAGCTTATTAGCGATAACACGTTTTGACTCAGCTCAGAGAGCAGAATCAGTTCGAACCTCAAAGTTTCTGGTTGTGTAACTCTGTAACTTTTATGCAAATTGCGAGGTTGATTACATGATCGAAAGCTTGGGTCACAATCGAATAATATCCTCTGTTTAATATCGTTTTGAAGAATTTGCATAAACCCTGTGACATTTGATACTCACTTGTTTCGGAACAGTTCTAGATCTTTGGTGGACTCCAATACAAACTATTCCCTTGGCCGCTACAGATCTGCTGAACGCAATGAGAGGAAGTACACTAGTTTATTTTGGAGGCGATTTATGGTTTGTGACGGCCACCATGCTGTCTGAACTTGTCGGGCAATCCTCCAGCCAGGATCATAAAAACTGCAGGGAGAGCATCTATGAGTAAGTAGAAGCAGAGTATGTGGAGTGCGTAAACAAAATAAGTGGAAAATAAGTGCAAAGTCACAACCTAAGAAAATTTTCTTGTACTTGAATTTCAGGAATAAAACGTCCAATGGTGTCCCGAACCTGATTATTGACAATGCTACAATCGAGGAAGACCAAGAAAAAGCAGAAGCAATGGCAAACTACTTCTCCCAAGTCTTCACTCAGGAGTCATCATTGCCTATATGATCAGCTCTGGCTGCATCAGAAGAACATGGGATAGATTCCGTTGACATCGACCAAGGCATCGTGCTCAACTGCTTAATGAAACTAGATGCAGGGAAATCAATGGGTCCTGATAATCTTCATCCAAGGCTTCTCAAGGAGCTATCAGCCCACATAGCCAGCCCCTTGACCACGATCTTCAAGCTATCTCTCCTAAATGGAGTGTTACCGCGTGACTGGAAAGACGCCATAGTAACCCCCATCCACAAAGGAGGATCAAGACAAAACCCATCAAATTATAGGCCTGTCAGTCTCACCAGCACTTTAATCAAGACACTGGAAAGAATTATCAAGAAAAGCATCATGGCATATCTGAAAAACAGCAGCTTGTTGTCTAGAGCACATTATGGCTTCTGGCGGAACCTCTCATCCCTATCAAATCTCCTGACTGCAAGAGAAAGCTGGGTCAAATCAAAGGACAACAGAAGACCCGTTGACGTCGTCTTCATAGACTTCAGTAAAGCCTTTGATAAAGTACCTTACAAAAGACTACTCATGAAATTGGAAAGTCTTGGTATCAAAGGCAGCTTACTAAACTGGCTCAGGGAATTCGTCATAGATAGGAGGTAGAGGGTTAGGATCAACTCGAAACTCTCCTCTTGGACAGCAGTACGTAGCGGAGTGCCACAAGGCACGGTACTCGGTCCTTTCCTATTCATTCTGTATATCAATGAGTTACCTGTGCCCACCGACTCTCCTATGGTCCTATACGCAGATGACTTAAAATTTGGAGAGAGCTGAAGGGCAACAGTGATACGTCCACGTTGCAAGAGGACCTCAACAAATTGTCAGAGTGGTCCGTTGAATGGATGCTCCCGGTCAATGTAGCAAAATGTGCAACCATGCGCATTGGACAAGCAAGCACAAGCTCCTACGAATTGGAGGGAATAACACTTCCATCAGTTCAGACTCACTTGGACTTAGGTGTCATAGTTAGCCACGATTTAAAAACTACAGCACACTGTCACGTGGTGGCTGCACGTAGTTTCAGGTCCTTATGGGCAATTCGCAGAGCCTTTACTAGAATCACCAGAGATATTTTCACCTCCTTATTTATCTCTGGTGTGGTCAAGACTGGAAAACTGCATCCAGGCCGCCAGTCCCTGTCTAAAAGGGGACTCACACATTCTAGAAAGTGTTCAAAGGAAAGCAACACGTATGGTTCACGGCATAGCTAACTTATCATACGGGGAAAGACTAGACAGTTTAAATCTCTTCTCCTTGTCATATTATGGGCAAAGAGACTATTTAATCACAATGTTTAAAATTTTAAATAATGACTACGGACCTGATCTATTCTCTCTTTTCCTTCCCACCAGGTGGTCGGAACACCTTCGAAGACATAGCAGGAAGGTTCAAAAGCCAAGAAGAAATCATAATGCTGTTAAGTACTGAGAATATATATTTCTTTCTGTTTATGCAGGAACATACCAATTGTACAGGCACGGATAGGTTACTATATAAATTACAAATAATTTGATGCATGATGAATTTACAGTTTGGTTGTTCTTTCTGACCTTAGAGTCAGTCGGAACAGTCTGCTATAAAGTCTGTTTGTGTAGCACATAAAGAGATATAGAGATATTGTCTTCGCACATAGAGTCATAAACTCTTGGAACCGACTCCCAGAAGAAGTGGTGTCTGCAACCTCAACTGATTCATTTAAGAAGGGTTTGGACAACCACAGAAATCTACTAGAAAAGGATTAACATAGGCTCCGAGCCTTCTATCCTCAACCAATAAAACTGAAATCTGAATATGTCAAGAAAACTGGGTGTAAGACGGGATTTCATTGGCAGCAAATTTTAAGGGGAAGTAGGGCAGATCGTACCTTTGTTGTAGCCCCCTAATGAACAATCCTGTTATGGTTGTGCCAAGAAGTAGGTCAGCGCTCTTCTAGTAACACATCTTGGAAAACGTAATCTGACTCGTGCCACGTTTTGTGCGCCGTAATTTTATCTCCCTTAGCTTTGTAGTAGCTAAGAAAGTGCAAATTTGGCATTCAGCCAGTCGTCATAAGACCGATATATTAGTATGGTGACAGTTTTAATAGAGTTCCCTTATCATTTTCTAGAGGAGCCCAGGTGGCAGTGTATTTTCTATGCTTGGCTTTGATGTGTTTTCTAACTTTCAATGGTGTGCTGGGACTTCGCGGGAGAGGACGGCCCCCTATGAGTGACGGGGGAAGCTTTATTCTCCTGGCTCACGGATGAACAGTTGTGGAAATTCGTAAATACTGAATACTAACCACCTTCTTGTCGCCAGGTATTGCAGGTGGTCAGCTTTTCTCACAATCCCGTCTGTTCTTTGACGCTTTCTGTGATCCTCCATTGTTTTATGTCATCTGTGGAAAAGTGTTAGGGAGCTTCAGTTATTTGATGGGCCACTTATAAAAGCAGGAGTAAATGTTGGCCGACAAATGTTGCTGACGATATCCATGCGCTTTTCATTGTTCAATTGCAGTGTGCTCGGTTCACCAACGTGCGAAATCCCCTGCTCTCCGGATAGGCTCCAGTCCACGAAAACGATAGGTCGCCGACTCCCATTTCGGAAACTCCGAGTTGAAAGCTTTTGCGAGCTGTATAACCAAACTTCGACTGGAGTCACTTTCCTCCCCCGGCCATATTATTCGACTGTTCCAAAATACTGCACCTTGGTTGTGCTGAACTGCTAACTCCTCAATCCACATTGGCCTTGGCGCAGAATGTTTTATTCGTTTGGACATATCCTGATGTTAGAAGCCAGTAAACCACACACAGGCTACACACAGATTCACAGCACTTGAGATATTGGTGAAAACCACTCGGCAACTAACGTCTGTTTAACCAATGATTAGACTGTTCACCTAGAAGGGCACAGACGACCTCATCAAAAGGTTCGAAGATTACTGACTTGATGTGACCACATCGTAACAATCGTCAGAACCATGCTCCTGGACACTTCACAATCTCCGCTTGTGCGTCATGAAGACCCTTGGAAAAGCTGTCCGACATTTATGCATCAGATCGTCAGTAAGAGGCACGCAGTTGTAAGCCGGATTTTGAAACTCGATTCTGAGTATCTCCCACAATGATCATGCTAGATCACGAAGATCAAGGAAAGCGATAGTAATGTTCGATTGCGCACCACCAGCTGTCTTCACCAAAGCCGATAACTAGTGCTACAAAACAAGGTAGCGTTCTTGGCCCTATTCTATTCCTCTTATTCACAAGTGACATAACCTCTGTGATCAGGCGTGGCAAGCCTTATGTCTTCACAGATATTCTCAAGATAGTATGTGACTACGATGATATGAGCGTTGTAAATGAACTTGAACATTGAACGCCGGTTCATTGGCTTTGGTAGCCACTGGTGAGCAGCTCGAAGGCGCGAATGTTTCAGTGGTATGCAAGTTCGAAGAAGACGAAACAATACGAATAAAAACTAGTATTAATCTTCACTTTAATTGCCAAACAATGTAACTTTCGAAAGGAATACTGGTGTTTTGGAGTTAAAGTCGAAGAAAGCACTCAGTAATTATCGGTTCGGAGCGTCTTCGTAACAATAGGAACTTGGGGATAAGTTCCTTGACTGTTTATATTCCTTTTCCGGAGCGCCTTCTGGAACTTCCAGAGGTACTTATTGGGTCTGCATTCAGCACCTCTGTGGACACGGATTATTAACGCAATTTGGATTCTTTGATGACGCTGGGTAATGCCTGAGTCGTGAAAGGGACGCGGCACCATGGAACCAGACATAAAAGTAAGTAACGATGAGTTGCCTGTTAATTGTAATGATATGTATGATGCTCAGCATGATGAGCCTGATGTTCACGCTTCGCTGTCTGGGGATAGTAGGGCTTTAAGGCTCCCAAAGTTTGAACCTCGGGAATTTTATGGAAACCCAGCCGACTACCCACAGATTAACAAGGAGTTTGAAGTCATGTTAAGTGGTTTTATTTTAAATGACGAAATGAAGTCGATGCATCTGTTAAGGTACTGCACTGGTGTTGCTTCAAGAGCCATACAGTGGCGCAAGCTCATGCCCCCAAACGAAGGATACACTGAGGCGATGCGTATCCTGCTTCAAAGGTTTGGAAGACCTTCGATGATTGTAAGGAATGTACTCGAGGCCGTTTAAGGTGATGGTAGTCAATTACGAGACGAATCCAAGCCACTCACT